GGTGGTCGGTCAACGTTGGTCTGCATTTTAGGATGAAGAATGGACTTCTCTTATCGTAAGTAGATGATATGCTTCCTGTATGTGATGAGATGACACCTCTTATGAGTTTTGATTCCAGTGTTTTGTTCCTGATGTCTCACTTACTCCTTTTTTTGTAGATTCTCCAAGGTTTGAGGGCCTTTGTCTCACTGTTGAGTTTTTCGGCATTCTGGGTTAATGTGGCTTCCACTCTGGAGGAGACGGTTGTTATACTTTATTTGTAACAGGCAGATTGTGATTACTGTCCTCTTCGATTAGTTCTGCAGTTGCGTATAATTTTAGATGCTCTTACTTCATATAAAGATATGCAAGTTACAAAATGTGGCTTGGTGCTTTTCTCTGTACTTGTTTTGGGCCTCTTCTTTCGGGTTGTGGAGACGGATTTTGGATTACGGGTGTCTCCCTGTTTGGTGTCGTTGTCTCTTCTTGGCTCGATTGGCGTGACTTAGTCAATAAATTATCAGTCATTAGTTCCTCCACTGCCGAAGAGAGCATTGGAGGCTATCGGTTGCCAATCATTCAGAACTTCTGCAGCCCGGGAGGGATGCGCTTCCAAGAATAGCGTTCATCATTGAATCATTCTGGCGGCTCCCACGTTAGCTTGTGACGAGTTTTGAATCTTTGGTAGCAGCATCTGCTCAGGGCTGTTTGTCCTGTTTTTCAGATGCAGGCGTAACACTGCTTCCGGGTGCAAGGTTCTTCTTACGTCGTCCTACCAGCATTACCCCTATTTGGTTACTTTATTATTGCCTGCAATTATCACGAAATTGCACAAGCTTACGACAGCAGAGCTTATTCAAAAGGATAGCCAAATCTCCAATAGGGTTGCTGCACTTTCGTCAACCTGGTGAAACATCGGAAAGTAAGCATTTCGACAAACCGGATTGCCGAGATTTTCGAACTCGCTGAAACCCAACCAAAACATACGCAAGCTTATAATCAACCTGGAGCAAATTTTCTCCGGTACATGTGCCAATATAGCGGAACTATCATGATTTAGATACAGCTTGGTGGTTGGAGGAGTCAGTGGCCCGGTGAAACGGAGGGAGTAATCTTTATCCATCCGTTCCGTTGCGACGGGAGCGGTGTGAATTAGGGAGACAGAGGTAGGCGCCGGCGCATGTGAAAAGCGCGTCTACCCACACTCTCATTGCCTCGGGCGAAGGCGCAGCCAACGACAGAATTCGAGTTCGTGCTGGCTGTGGACGACTCTGCGGTGAAACTAGGGAAGGAGGCGGGGGGCACGAAGCCACCAAGAGGAGGCAGAAACTCGTGTTATTGCTTTTCCTTGCCTGTCGGTCTGGGTAGACGTCGATTATGTCCGTGAAACTGATCACGTCTAAAAAGCAGAAGGCTATGCAAACATGGGAAGTGAATCCGTGTGAGTGTCAGACTTAAGAATCTAACTTTATTAACTTTTAATTCGGCCGAATTCTAGGCGCTTCCAGGGCTCAGCTGACCGACGTATTCGAGCCAACTTGATAATAGGCTCTACATTTTAGCATGGAAAACGGTGGTTGAGTGCAACCAAAGGTCTGTGGAGAAAAGCAAACATTCTGCAACTGCAAACGGATTATTGTGTCTGAGGGTGACTTCAAGAGGATTTGAGACCAAAATTAGCTATAGACCTTTCGATAAGAGAAAAACGTTGCATACTTCTGTAAGCTTTCCACACGTCACATGCATGATCTTAGGCCCATATCAACACGCAGAGTGATTCTGCGGTGATAGAAGGCGTTGAAGCAGTTTTATGCTTTGCTTGCGACCTACTTCTACTACTATTACTCTTTATTACCACAAAAGTATCGGTTGAAAACGACCGATGCAGTAACGAAAATGCATAGGTCAATTTCCAGGGATACATGAAGCTGGGACCAGTGAAGAGTTGTTGATCGGTTGCTCCTGAATAAATAAGTATCATCGAGAAGTGTACAGCCTGCGGAGGAATTCAGAGAGTGAGGTTAATAAAGTGTATTTCCATCTGAATCCTAATAAAAATAAACCGATCGTAAGTTAATGGAGTCTAATGGAACAACAAGATCTTGGATTTCTTGTGAGGGATGAGCTCTCCTTCGAGGCTTAAAGTATGATTCGTCAACGAAAGAAGTGTCTTCGCCATCTTTTAGGTTCACCAGTAGACTTGTACGATTGGAACTCTTTCATAACGAGGAGTCCGCTACTTTGGGTAGCCTCTGCAAAGACTACCTTGTAAGTCGTAGCAAACTTCTAAACTGGGAGTTCATAAATGCAATAAGAAAATATGACGGGTAAGGCGATAAGACCGAAGCATGCCTATCCTTAACTGTGAAAGCGAATTGACAGCAAGATTTTCCTTCAAGGACCATACACAAGTCACGGTAAACCATTCCAGCGACCCTTATCAGAACGTAAATGATTCTGTGGTCGATTACTACTTGGTATTAACTCAAGCATCTCAAATTTCAAAGCTGTTTATGAATAAACTGGAATGCCGAAAGCGAACCGCGCTGGCAGGATATGGTGAATGGATAGAAAGTACGGTCAGTCTCAGTCAAAATGCAACCGTGGAACAAATGCGCTATAAAAAGAGCAGCTGAAAACAGATACAAACTGGTAGCAAAAATTGACAATAGGAATTTTATTGCACCTTTGGGCTTCATGAGGGAAGCTGCATTGGAAGACTTGGAGGTATGACTGGAGTAGTAGATCAGTAGTCGGCGTCTACGATCAAGGACGAACCAGCGTCGCTTACCACGTCGACCGCGATGGAATAGTGCCGCCATAAAACCACCGCTTGGTGAAGTGACACGTGAGGCCCGTTGCCTTGCCCTCCTTGTGACAGGTGAGAAGAAAGCAGAGGAGGAGGAGACAGTGCCGACATCCGAGGACAATCCTTCAAGCATTGGATTATCAGCATCTTTGTTAGTGGGCACGGAGGTGACACGAGAGTCAACTTTGTACAAGTAGCCAGCACAAGTGGTTGCATCCACGTGCAAGTGAGGCATTAGAAGGGGCGAACAGAGGATGTGACCGCATGTCACTTCAAGGTGGTGTCGAAGGTCAAAGGAGATGTCATCGGGCACTGGCAGGTATCGCGTCAGAGGACGTACCTTAGGACACACATCAACAGATAGTACGTTATGCGTGGCACACCGAGATTCGAGTACTACATGTCCAGGTGGTCAAATAGTAAATGCACTTAGTGCATCTTAATCACTGGTTAAACCTATCTCTGTTTTTGACAGTACTTAGGAGTATTCA